TCACGTTTCCCCTCCACCTTCTCTCTTCGCTTACTGACACGCTACCATCCTTCGAGAATCAAATCAGACTCCACGAAGTGCACTCCAGTCTTCAAACACTTCTTTCCCTAACTCCCACACAACAGATGATATGGAAACAGTCTGCGTCCTAAGTCCTGTTTCCTACGAGGTAAAAGTGCACCGACCCTCGACCCTCACCCCCATTTGGCAGCAGTGTAGAAAAGACTGAAAGGGGGACAGCATTAAAGGCATGGAGATGGGGGCCAATTTAAGGAGGTGGCAACGAAGGTTCAAATAAAAATCTATAGTTGAACGAGAAGAGAGGAGGATCAAGTACTTCTGAGAATGTATCCTAAGGAAATACTCTCAAGGCAGGGCGATGTACATCATAAGTGGGCTGCACTTAGAAAAATCTAGACTTAAATGTTAGTTCTCCTCTTCCTACATATTTTATAACAAAAAACTGGAAATAGTCCATAGCAAATTACAGTTGTGATAAATACTGAATGTTTTTATTCACAGAGTTGTGGATACTTCGGGGTTTTAATATGGGGGGATATGATCTTACATGTAGAAAACCCTAAAGATTCCATAAAAACACTGTTAGAACCAACAAATTAATTCAGCAAAGTAGCAGGATACTAAGTCAACACACAAAAATCAGTTGCATTTCTATATACAAACAACGAACAATCTGAAAAGAAAATTACAAAAGCAATTCCATTTATAATAGCATCAAAAAGAATAAAATACTTAGGAATTAATTTAACTAAGGAGGTGAAAGACTTACACAAGGAAAACTACAAAATATTGCCGAAATTAAAGACACAGTGTTCATGGATGGGAAGACTTACTATTGTTAAAAAGTCAATACTACCCGAAGCCATCTACAGAGTCAATGCAATTCCTATCAAAATCCCGACGACATTTTTTGCAGAATACAGAAAAACCCATCCTAAAACTCAGATGGAATCTTAATGGACCCTGAATAACCAAAACAATCCCGAACAGAATAAAACTGGAAGACTCACACTTCCTAATTTCAAAACTTACTAGAAGCTACAGTAATCAAGAGTGTGGTATTGGCATAAACAGAAACATAGACCAATGGAATAGCATAGAGCTCAGGGCCAGCCCTGGTCACCTAGTCAGCAAGATCTGCTACAGCAGCCTGGGTTCAATTCCTGGGTGGGGACCTACACCCCTCTGTTAGCAGCCATACTGGGCTGGCAGCCCACACACCAAAAAACAGAGGAAGACTGGCATTGATGTTAGCTTAGGGCAAATCTTCCTCAGCAGGGAAAAAAAAAGAAAAAGAAAAAAGAATGGAGCCCAGAAATAAACCCTGGCATATATCGTCAAATGACTTTTGACAAGGGTGCCAAGACCATTCAATGGGGAAAGGACAGTCTTTTCAGCAAATAGTCCTGGGAAAACTGGATATCTACATGGAAAAGAATGAAGTCAACCCTTACCTAACACCATGTACTAAAATTAATTCAAAATGGATCAAAAACAGACATGTAAGACTTAAAACAATAAAACTCTTAAACGAAAACATTGGACAAACACTTCACAACACTGGATTTGGCAATGATTTCTTGGATAAGACACCAAAGCCACAGGTAACAAAAGAAAAAATAGACAAACTAGACTTCATTAAAACTTTAAAATTTAGTGCATCAAAAGACACTATCAGCAGTGCAAAAAGGCAATCCACAGAATATATTTCACAGAGTAACGAGAAAATATTTCACAGAATATTGACAAAATATTCGCAAATCATATATCTGATAAGGGATTAATATCCAGAATATAAAGAAACTCCTAAAACTCAACAACAAAAAAAACTCGATTCAAAAATGGGCAAAGGATTTGAATAGATATTTCTCTAAAGAAGATAAACGAGTAACCAATAAGCACATTAAAAGCAGCTCAACATCACTAATATTAGGAAAGTGCAAATCAAAGCCACAATGAGATATCACCTCACACCCATTAGGACAGCTACTACCAAAACCAACTAACCAACCACAGAAAAGTGTTGGCAAGGATGTGAAGAAACTGGAACACTTGGGCACTGTTGGTGGGAATATAAAATGGTGCAACCACTGTAAAACAGGGTGGTGGTTCCCCAAAAGACAAAAATAGAGGGGGCCGGCCCCATGGCCGAGTGGTTAAGTTCATGTGCTCAGCTTCAGAGGCCCAGGGTTTCACTGGTTGGGATCCTGGGCGTGGACCTAGCTCTGCTCATCAGGCCATGCTGAGGCGTCGTCCCACACAGCACAACCAGAAGGACCTACAGCTAGAATATACAACTATGTACTGGGGGGTTTTGGGGAGAAGAAGAAGAAAAATAAAAAGAAGATTGACAACTGATGTTAGCTGAGGTGCCAATCTTAAAAAAAAAAAACAGAATTACCATATGATCCAGTAATTCCACTTCTGGGTATATACCCAAAAGAACTGAAAGCAGGGATTCAAATAGCTATCTGTAAACCCATGTTCTTAGCAGCATTATTCACGATAGCCAAAAGATGGAAGCAACCCAAGTATTCATTGACAGATGAATGGATAAAGAAAATGTGATATATACACACACTGAAATATTATTCAATATTATTCATTATTCTTCCTTAAAAAGGAAGGAAATTCTGACACATGCTACAGCATGGCGAACCCTGAGGATATTCATTATGCTAAGTGAAATAAGCCAATCACAATAAGACAAATACTGTATGATTTCACTTATATGAGTTCTTAGAGTAGTCAAATTTATAGAGACAGAAAGTAGAATGGTGGCTGCCAGGGGCTGGGGGTGCAGGGGAGAATGGGGAGTTATTGTTTAGAATATGGAATTTCAGTTTTACATGAAAAGAGTTACGGAGATGGATAGTGGTGGTGGTTGCACAATGTTATGAATGTATTTAATACCACTGAACTGTACACTTCAAAATAGTTAAGGAGGTAAATTTTACCTTAGGTGGATTTTGCTACAAGTGAAAAAAAAGCAGACAAAGGAATTAAATGGTAAGTATGGTTTTCCCATTATTAAACATGTCCTTCCTGATGGAGCCTATCTAATTAACTCATTTATTCCCAAGGAGGGAACATACTGTATGATGACGTTTCCGTCAACCACCAACTGCATATACAAGGATGGTCCCATAAGATTAGCACCATCTAGCCTAGGTGTATAGTAGGCTATACCATCTAGGTTAACGTAAGTGCACTCTATGATGTTCACTCCATGACGAAATTGCCTGATGATGCATTTCTCAGGACATATCCCCATTGTTAAGTGATGCATCACGGTACATAGGGGGAAAATTCTGCAAGCTCTATGTCAAGTTATATATTTTTCATATCTAGAGAACTTGACAATTAGAAAATGACAAATACAAATAAAAAGATGCACAGAGGATCAGAACAGAAATTTACAAATGGCCAATGAATGTGAAAAATGTTCAAACATACTAGTAATCAAGGAAAGAGAAGTTAAGATAACCATTTTTCATCTATCAAATTTAGTTGGGGGCAGATGGAAATAAGGTGTCTTGAAGAAGGGGCACTTTTTTCTAAATCACACTCGTTGTCCCATTCAATTATTCCAATCTGGTTTCTACCTCCTACTTGTAGAACTCTGAATAGTAACACCAATGACCAAAACTAATAACAACCGCATTGCCAAATCCAACTGAGCATCTCACTAAACATCTCAGAAGAACTAATGGACCAATTCTCCATCTTCCAGAAACTTCTCTCTCTTGGCTTCCACGACACCAATTTTTTCTCCTACCTCACTGGCTGTTTCTTCTGTCCTGTACTCAACCTTCTTCCTCTACTAGACCTCAAAATACCCTGATTTTTCACTTCTCTATCTGTACTCTCCCCCTAAGTGATCACATATAGTCCCATAACCTTCATTATCATCTATATATTGAGTATTCCAAATTTTATCTCCAGTTCTAGGCTTTCTCTTCCATGAGTCCAAACCTCATGAGTATATCCAACTCCCTCCTCAACATATCTACTTCATAACTAATATGTATCTCAAATTAAAAACAGAACCCATTCCTTTCCCACCTCAAATTTCTCTCTTCCATCCTTCACTTTCTCCCTAAATGCCACCATCTACTGATAGGTGCTCAAAACAAATATCAAAAAGCAAAGAGTTATCCCTTCCCCTCACCAATCCACTTCCAAGTCTTGTTCTTTCAACCTCCAAAATATTTTTTAATGTTTCTACTCTTCTCCATCTCCACTGCCACAGACCTAGCCCAGGCATTGCAAACAACACCCTAACTGATCTCCCAGCTTCCACTCTTGCCCTGTTCCTCCACAAAGCAGCCAAATTATGCTACTGGCCTTCTTAAAATCTTCAAAAGAGTCTCATAAAAACGCAACTTCTAGTCAGGGCATCATCTGCTCCCATCTTTGAAAGAATATACACAACCAAAAACATACACTCAATGATAATATCTCTAGGCAGTAAAACTACCAGGACTGTATTTTTAAATTTTTCTATGATGAATACTTGCTATTTGCTTATTAGGAAAGAGGAAATGATATTGCTGAATGCTACATAATATTACATGTTATGAGAAAACATGTTAACCAGAAAAGGGAATACAAAACTGTAGGTAACCCCTAATTGTAACCGTTATAAGCTTTTATTTAGCAAACATATCAAAACTCTAAGAATGATGTCAGGGCTGAAGGATTACTGGTGATATTTTCCTCCTCTACTTTCTGTTTTTTAACATAATTACATTCATAATAGAAAAAAAAAAGGTTAGGATATAAACCTCACTGTCTTCTGCAATCTGGCCACAACCCACCCAACCAGCCTTTCTTCCAAGAACTCACTTTCCCAAGCTTTCCATTCCAACCCCACACAGTCTCGCACCTCTGGCGCTGTAACTCGGGCACCATCCCTGGAATATCCTCCAGTCTTTCTAAATCCTACTCATCCTTCACCGGGGAGAGGGACGGGAGGGATGGAGACAGGCTGGAGCGAGATTCCAGGATTCTTGGGGGTAAATTCACAGCTTGCTGGTGCTGGGGCCAAATCTCGTCTTCAAGGGGTGGCACAGGCAACCAAACTTAACATGCTAAAAGCTCCGGGCACTTGGGCTTAATTAAGGGACCCCATCCCCTCAGAGAGCGCTGCGCCCCCTAGAGAAGGACTCTTACCCCCTACCCCCACAATTCCGGGTTCCAGCTTCGGAGACCGCACTGACACGCACATTCAGGGGGCACCCAGCCGCCGGCGCCGGCGCCTCCCCTCTCCGCAGTCCCCGGCTCCCCGCTCCCGCCCCTCGGCAGGGGGCCCGCGCGCCGGCGCCGTGGGGGAGGGGCGCGCACGTGCCCGCGCCGCCCCCGCCCAGACAATGCCCCGGAGAGCAGCGCGCACGCCCGGCCGGTCCCCTCCCGCTCGCGCCAACACTCACCCGTTCCCCGGTCTCCGGCAGAAGCGCAGGCCCCGCTGGGCGCCGCGAGAGGGCACGGGCAGGTGAGGGAGCGGGCGCAGCCCGCGGAGCTGCCCAGCCGCGAGGCCCCAGCGACCCCGGAGCCCGCGGAAGCACACGGCTCGGCGGAGCCCGCCCGGCCCGCTCGCCCCTCACGTCAGCGGCAGGGGCGGGGCCGGGCGCGCGCGGCGTCAGCAGCGGCGGAAACGGGGGCGCGCGCGCGGCCCGGGGGCGGAGCTCGCAGGGCTGTGGGCGGGGCCTGGGCCGGGGCACAGGTTGGTGCTGGGGCCCGGGCCCGGGCCGGGGCGGGGGCTGGCCCTGACCCAGACACCGACCCTGGCGCGCGCTGCGGCGCTGTCTGGGGAGTGTGTGCATCGGTGCTGACGGAGGCACCATCATTTATCAATTTCCTCTTTAGAAGAAGAGGCGAGTTCCAGCTCCAAGTTTGACAGAATATTCATGCTGCCTGCATTTATGAAGCTTCTCCAGTAATAACAACAGTAGCTATGATTTTTGTGTGTCATCTTGTACCAAGCTTTGTGCTAGGTGCTGGGAGTACAGATAACAATCGTTATTACTAACCTGTTTTACAGATGCAGAAACTGAGGCTTGCAAAGATTGGGACTTATCTACGTCACACAGCTAGTGAGTGACAATCCACCAAGTCCAGTTTTCCTCCTAAATATCTCTTGAGCCCACCCTTCCCTTTTCTTCTCCCTGTGCCACCCTGCCCGAGACTGCTGTGGCCTCCCGACTGGTCTCCAGGGATCATTCTGTTCTCACTATGCAAAGATTTACCACCGGAGCTGGATGACAGCTTTTAGAGGGGATTCACTTTATAATTTTTTTGTACTTTACATGTATGGTATCAATTTTTTGGATGTATTTAATGCTTAATAAAAATGTTTTAAAGGATTTATTCCTTTATCTCCAATAGCAAGTGGAGTGCGTTGCACATAGTATGTACTCAAAAAGTATTTGTTGAATGAGTGAATAGTAGGGCCAGGAACTGACTCCACAGCCCTGCATAAGAAGGAAATAGAGGGATTTATAATATGTCACCTTTGGCCTCCTGACCTTAAGGTCTATTGGAGGTAAAGACAGATTAATAATATTTGTTAATCTAATTTTTATTGCATTTCCGTTCTGTGTTCTGGCACTATGTGCCAAGCCCTGTGGTAGGCACTGAGGATCAGAAATGAACAGAACAGTGCTGCCTTTGTGACATTTACAGTCAGTCTTATCTGAAAGTCCAGGAAAGGCCTCCCTGAGCCTTCAGCTAAGACCCGAAGAGAGAATAGGAATTGGAGAGATAAAAATAAATTTCATGGAAAAAGAGGCAGCATAAGAGGTCATCATGAGTGTGTCAATGTTCCCCTACTTTTGGGGCCTAACCCTGAGGCAGAGGCATAGAAGAATCTAGCTAAGTGGAGCGGGCAGGAGAAGTCCACTTCCCCTTGGAAGGCTGCCGGATTCTGGCAGGATGTCTCTCACTGAGCCGGGCTCAGGAGCAGACAGCAGCACTGGGGAAGGAGAGGAGTCTGAGCTGATGCTGCTGGCTGTCCACAACTTGCAGAGGGTGTGCTAGAAACCCAGACTTCTCTGTGTGCTCCCTGCCAGGCAAGCAGAAAGCAGCATGGTTGAGAGCCGTGGACGGAGCATTTGGCACTGTGCCAGGGGCCAGACCCTAAACCAGAGGCAGTGGTGGACTGATTGGCAGGGAATGACTACAGAATGTGGCTAAGGTTTCAAGGATGGGCAGAGCTGAAGACCTCAGCAGGAGCTGAAGTGCTCCCAAGTCAGCCGGCAGCGAGAGGGACAGGATGGAGGAGTGGGGGTGGGAAGGTGAGACATCAGATTCTCAAAGTGGTGAAGCAACAGATCATGAGCTTGCCAGCGAACAACCTCAGCACCTGATCCCAGCAGGGCCACGGGGACCAGGAGTGACTGGGGAGCACAGGCCAGTGAGGACCCAGGCTACAGCTCTGCACACAGATCTGAGACCCCTCTGGCCACTGCCTTGAAGCCTCCCTTTGATCCCACAGGCCATCTTGAGAAGAGGGAGGAGGGGAAAGTTCTGACAGGAATGCAACTTTGAATTTTTAAATATTTTTAAATATTTTTGAATATTTACCCAAAATGAGACTGTTTGAGACCAGATAACTTTCACTGGCAAGTTTAAGTTTAGCCCATTCTGCAAAAGGAATGAGAGCGCATGAGAAAGTTTGCATCATTTAAAGAGGCATAACATAGCTATAGATTTTTATACATATGTAAGCGGTGTGTACTTTTCAATAACAGAGGCAGGCTCTAGGAAGGCAATGGGCAGGGTGCTAAGAAAGCACAACACAGGGGGACCAAATCTAATGTGGAGGTAGAAAAGCCCTCCCTGAAAAAATGTTAAGTGGAACCTGAAGGGAGTGAGAGCTGCTGGGGCACGATAAAGCCCAAGACCGAGTGACAGAAGCCCAGGGTCACTGAAGCAGGAGCAGCATGGTCGGGGTTGGGGTGGGGCTGAGAGTAAGGCAAGAGGAAGGTCACACAGGGAGGTGGCGTTAAGATTTTGATCTTTACCGTAAAAACAACAGGAAGTCATCAAAGGTTTTTAAGCAGAAGAGTAAGGTATTCAATTTGCCCTTTATAAAAGATCACTTATGTGGGCAAATGGGTGGGGAACGCCTGGAAGGGTGTGTGAACCAAGCAGCAGCCAGACAGTCAGAAAGCCACTTGAGTGGCCCAGGTGAAAAATGAGGGTGGCTTACGCTGGGCAATGGAGACGGAGGGAAGTGGAAAGAATCAAGAATTGTGGAGAAAATGCCCAGAGGCTTGATAATGAACTAGGAGAGGACTGAGGAGGAAAGGGAAGGGGACTAGCCCCTGCTAAGTCTAACCGCACGAAACGGCACGTAAGAAAAAGCTGCCCCAGTCTTCCAGTAGATGCTGCCTGCCCGAGGCTGGGGCACACAGCTGGGGGCTGGATTTCAGGCCCCTCCTTGGCCAGCCCTCCTCAGGCAGCATTCACCTGCACACCCACTGGTGGTGGGCCTGCAAGGAGATCAGGAGGGAGCAGTACGGAGGGTGACTCCCAGGTTTCTTGCATTGGCAAACTGGATGGTGGTGCCATTTACTGAGAGGAGGGAGACTGAAGGAAAGACAGATTTTGTATCTTGGGGGATGGGTGAATCAGGAATTCCCTTTGGCACATTTTAAGTTTGAGGCATCCACCTAAGGAGATTAAACGGGCATCTGTACGGGTGGTTCTGAGGCTCAGAGGAGAACTGATGGGTGGCATTGCCCACACACCGTTGTCAACAGGAGTTTGTGAGAGCTGGCAAGATTGCAGTGGAAGATAGTACAGTTCAGAGGGGTGGCACAGTCACAGCCTACAATGTCACCCTTTGCTTTAAACAAGCCAATACTCCAAACGTTGAGAAATTTCACATACTAACCTGGATTTCTCCTTCTATGAAAAATCAAAAACTGTGTAACCTGGACCCACATTGCTATAATTAGATATTAGTTAATACTGTGTACCAGGCAGTCTTCCAAGCACTTTACGAATTTAATCTAAGTAACAACTTTCCTGTTGTTATTCAGACTTTAAGGAAGACAAAACTGAATCACAGAAAAGTTGAGTGACTTTTCAGACAGCTGAAAAGTGGTAGAGCTGGGTTGCAGACTCAGGCGGTCTGAGCATTGAGTCTGAGAGCTTAGCTGTCACACCGTGGATGCCTCTGGAAAGCTACAGTCCCATTTAGAGAAGCCTAAGGCCTTCGGCAGAGGGTCCCACAACTCCCTGTTGTTTTCCCAACTCCTCCATCCTAGTCAGCATTAGTTGCTTTTTATGGTTTTACTCATGCTGCTGTTGCCTCATGTTAGAGAGTTATTTCTTTATATCCATGCCTCTACCAAGTAGAAAATAGAAAATATTAAATTGAGACATCTAACTTTTTTCTCTTTTTTCTTTTTTTGTGAGGAAGATTGGCCCTGAGCTGACATCTGTGGCAGTCTTCCCCTATTTTATGTGGGATGCTGCCACAGCATGGCTTGACGAGTGGTGTTAGGTCTGCGCCTGAGATCTGAACCTGTGAACCCCAGGCTGCCAAAGAGGAGCCCATGAACTTAACCACTATACCACCAGGCTGGCCCCACGACATCTAACTTCTACAGGTAAGAATTTAAAAATTATTTATTTGTGGGGGGTGGGCACAAAGGGTGAAGTGGTGCACCTACAACACGAATGACAAACATTAATGTACAACTGAAATTTCACAAGATTGTAACCTGTCATTAACTCAATAAAAAAAATTATTTATTTGTGAAATTTCTGTTTGTGGCTTATCTGGTCAGGTAAAATTGGTAAAAACAGGTTAGTATTTAGATTAAATATGTATGAGAAACTGTTAACTACATTTCTGTGCTGCTGAGACAATCATACTTCTGAGATGATCTGTCATTCCCAAGTATATGAGATTAAAATGACCCAGAGATGGGGCCGGCCCCGGGGTGCAGCAGTTAGGTTCACATGTTCCACTTCAGTGGCCCAGGGTTTGCAGGTTAGGTTCCTGGGTGCGGATGTGGCACGGCTTGGCAAGCCATGCTGTGGTAGGTGTCCCACATATAAAGTAGAGGAAGATAGGCATGGATGTTAGCTCAGGGCCAGTCTTCCTCAGTAAAAAGAGGATTGGCAGCGGATGTTAGCTTAGGGCTAATCTTCCTCAAAAGGAAAAAAAAGGAAAAAAAAAATGACACAGAGAAAAGGCAGCTGAAATGCGCAATAACTTTTTAATTTCAGACAGTTTTACCTAGATAAGGTCGATCTCCTCAGACTAAGGTTGGGGAGACTTTAACAATATGCTTAACCTTGTTTTCAAGTCTTGGGGAAAAAAATACAGTTTAGTCAGTTTGGGGTCTTTTCTTACAGACTCTTAACTGGGAAAGGGGATGGGGTGGATTAGATTGCTCATCAGTTCCTTCCTTAGTAAAAGTGTGGGAGGAGGGAGGCAGGGTGGATGTTAAATGTACAATATTAATGAAAGGAAAAGCAGCTATTAGTGAAGTTAGTCAAGAAAGTTCCAGGGGCCGGCCCCATGGCCGAGTGGTTAAGTTCGCCTACTCCGCTTTGGCGGCGCAGGGTTTCGCCAGTTCAGATCCTGGGTGCAGACATGGCACCGCTCATCAGGCGATGCTGAGGCAGCATCCCACATGCCACAACTAGAAGGACCCACAGCTAAAATATACAACTATGTACTGGGGGGATTTGGGGAGAAAAAACAGAAAAAAAAAATGACAAAAAAAAGAGAAAGTTCCAGGAGTGTCGACACTGACCCAGGAAAAGGAGTTGGTGGCTGAGGGGACCTCACTCCCAGAGCTGCTGCCAAGCAGCGTCTTGCAGGGCTCCAGTGGAGAGGGGCGGGGGGGGCAGACCGAAAGCAGCACTCAGAGAAACGAGGAAAGCCTGAGAAGGGTGGTGAGCCCAAAGCTCTGCCTGAGAGGAGGAGCGGGGAGCTGGTTCAGATGGAAAATTATTGCTGAATTCTGGCCCAGAGATCCCCAGGCCCGAGGAATCCTGCCTCCTCCCTGGGGAGACCTACCACCCTTCCTAAGATTAACAGGAGTGGGACCCCTGGAGCCCTTAGGTGATGAGGTTCCCCTACCAGGATGCAGATGCTAATTAGACTTGTAAAATGAGAACCTCACTTAATTTACAGCCCCAAGCAAACTGTTAAGTAGTTAGTGCCTGGGAATAACACTCAGGCAGTTAAAAATAAAGATTTGTCCCCAACCAGGTCCCAAGAAGAAACCAAATGTCTAGTTGGCCTATTTGGATTTTGGCAAAACTACACGCTACCCTTGTAGATCTTACTGGACCCTATCATAACCCAAAGGGAGCCATGTGTTGTGCTTCTCCTCCATGTGGATTGTGCGGTCGCCACAGAA